AGTATCTGTAATAGCTTACCTTTGCTCTATGGCTACACACGCCCAAAACGAAGTCTGCATAGGTTAAATGAATGAAGTGCTAAATGTGTTTGTTAGTGGCAGCTCTGGTCTCAGGACTCTTCATGCCCTTACTGACTTGTGGTGGACTCATGACATTCTTCTCAGCCACGCTCCCTTTGCTGCCCTGGGTTCTTCCCTCGGTCATACTCAAGCTGAATTTCAGGTGCTCTTCATTGAAGTTACTACCGAAACAACTTCTGTGGCTGGATAAGAAAAGGAAAAGGTGAAAGATAATATGCACTATCACGTTAGGTAAAAGAAAAAAAAAAAAAAAACATCACTGGCTAATTATTACTAACTACACGCTGCTACTTAAGAAACAAGTATTATTTGCTGACTGTAAGACAAGAGAGTCAAGCTGTCGGGTGGGGAACATGCTATGAATTTGCTCTGAGAGTAATTATTCAATTAAAATGGAAATGTTTGCTTTCCAAAATTCCCTCTTGCTCTATTCCTTTTCATGTGCTAGCTCTAATGACTGATGCATTCCTGAATCTGTTTTGTTCTGCTTCCAGACAAATGAAAAAGGCGTGTCCACAGCTATCAGAGGATTGCTGGCATGTGGAAAGAAATCTAGTTCATGGTTAGTTGGTACTTGAAATAGCTCCAGATCAACACCCTTTAATACTTAAAAACTACACAGGCCCCTAAAGGCCTTTTATTTTTGTGTCAGTACCAACCAAACAAGAAATCAGAATTTAAGGATGGTTTAAAAATTATTAATTCACTTAAAAATCATGCAGTTGCCATAAGTATATTTTCAGAACAAAGATAATTGAATGTAAAGAGGGGCATAATTTTACATTTTTCAAATGTTTTTTCATGCCTCACTTAATAAGAACAGTCAAATTCTCACATCTGCTTCAACATTTATCATTTAGCCCCAGCTTATATTTTATAGATTCTGGGAAACACTGGATATTTGACAGAACTGAAAAAGGCCACTACTGTCTCCATATTGTAAAGCAAAAAAAAAAATTTTTTTTTCCTGTGTAACCCTCTGCAAATGTCAAAAGAGAGAGGTTCCAGGGTTCATTAAATATAAATTCTTAAAATCATTGCTTTTTATATGTGCTCCATTGAAACCTACATGATTTTTCCCATGCACATTTTATGTCTTTCAGGAAATAAAATACATTTTATTTTTAAGTTGGAAAAATGTAAGAAAAGCTGACACTTGGGGAGGATTCTGAGGGGAAGAATTAGTAACCTGGACATGTTGATATCTATGAAAGTCTTTCATGGAGCAGCACGAAGAACTAAACTACTAAGACAGGCACTTCCTAGAAGCCAGCTGCATCTCCTTTAACTTTAACTCAGTGACACAGAATGCCAATGACAGGAACATTGTCACAGCGATGCCTTCAATCTGTTAGGCTCTAATTTTATTCTTCAAGTAACTAATTTGACTGTTTCCCTCTTTAATAATGACTGGGAGCTAAGTACTTTGAAAACATTCCTGATAATGTTGCAAAATGTCATCTTGTATCACACAAAGATGGGAACACACCAGTATTGTTCAGGAAGTAGGGGATGTGGTAAATACTATTTTATAAACTCAATGATTGTCTGCACCTACAATCACTGACAAAACATGAATCCATCTTTTCTTTCGTGAACTACTCAGCGTATCAAGGGGTGCATACATACCTACATACACATACACCTTCTCATGTGCATTGTGTGCATTCGTTCATCCATTTGAGACTTTTGTGAGAAACTTTTCTAAATAAAGGCAGGCACTATTCCTGAAATTGGCATATGTATTTTTTTTTTCTCCTGTTGCTGGGATAACATACCCTGTTGGTTTTGGCTCACAGTTCTAGGATATGGTCCTGCAGGCAGGGAAATGACAGCAGCTGGAGCTGGAGGTGGCTGTTCACGGACAGGCCGCAGAAAGGGTGACGGCTGATGCTTGGATCTCTTTCTTTTTATTCAGACCAAGATGGACCCCAGCTCATGATAGGCAGATCTTCCCACTTTAACTAACCTAATCTAGGTAAGCTCTATCAGGCACGGCCAGAGATTTGTTTCCACGATGACCCCAAATCCCAGCAAGCTGACGAGCTTAGCTAACATAGCACAGGAACAGAACACAGAGTCTTGGCCTTGTGAGTTCTATGCTTCGGCTCAGAGAAAAATTCAACAAATACAAGTAAGTCAAATATAACATCCATTGCACTGGAGACATGCACATTGCTGTGAGCGTGAAAGAGAAAGTGGAGAGGAGAGTGAGAAATGTTTGTAAATGAGTGATATGACCATTCAAAATAGAGAGGCAGGGAGAAGACTAACAAGACATTTGAGCACAGAGGGCAAGAGTGAACCTCTGTGAGAAAGAGTGACCAAAGCCTCCTTTGCAGGAGGCAGCCTGCAAAGAATGTGGCTGAGTGTGCAGGGTGTTGTGGGAACAGGAAGCTGTTTGAGAGGGCTGGGGGCTAGTAACAGAAGCTGTGCACACAAAAGAAACACTTAATTCTTTTTAGTGTTGGGAAGCCAAGGGGGACTGTGTATGTGACACAAAAGCAGGGGTTGACCTCACTCTTTAATGTGTTTGGTTTAGAGATAATGTGACTGAAGTCAGTGTTAAAAGTAGGGTCCTGGGTGTATTTTGAAAATGGAAAGAGCCAACAAATTATTTGCAAAATGTATATGCAACAAAAGAGGAAGACACTAAAGATAGGTTGGGACACTGATACAGAGAGGCATTTATTGAAATGACAGTGATTGTAGGCATAGGAAAGGGCCTGAATCTGAAAAAGTGTTTAGTTGGGTTTTTGGTGCTTCATTTCTGTCTTACGTTTTTCAGTAGGCGACAGAATAGAACCCCCAACACCTAGATAATCCATGGCTATCCCAGGGGAACTGAAGGCCAACATGAAAGAGCCATTTCCTAATAGATGTAGGGGCCAGACAGCATATTTATGTTCTGTCTGATTCTAGCTCTGTCAAACAGGACTTTCTTTATGGAAGTCATTTTCCTAATCCAGAAAATGAATTAGAGAATGCATCTTCATGGAGTCTCTACCTGAACTCAAACCCCAGCCACATGCCAGTTCTGTTAATTGGGAATTGTAAAAGGATCCACATCAGATTATTGTAGGAAATAGATGAGTGTAAAATACTCACACGGAATAAGGCCTGCCTATTGGCAGTACCAGTATTGCTTCTTCAAGCTTGAGTTTTGATGTAAACATTAACATTTTGCTGTTACTTTGCTATTATTATGCAGTTGAATTGTATGCCACCGGGATTAAAAATAAAAGGATATGCCGGGGAACTAAGCTTAAAGTTAGATGACATGTCTCCCAGTATCTATACATAAGTTATTGAAAATTGTATTACTTAGAAAAAATTTATTGAAGTAGCTGACACCAAGAGACTTTTTATACATTGTATGTGTCTGTTTCCCTAAAAAAGCCACACTTGCATGGAAGGGCCTGCAATCTGATTGGCTGACTAAACTTTGTAATAGTGGTACAGGAGAATGCTGAAAACAGGAACAAATATTTGCTGTCCCAGCTCCTCCCCAACTGAGGCACCACAGTAACCATTGGCTACTAATTACTGTATCCTCCGACCTAACATCGTTGTGTTTGTTTATGCACTGCTGAAACCTAGCTGGCTAGTAGCTTACATCAACCTTTTTTCTTTCTTTCTTTCTTTTTTAATCTCCTGCCCTTCTTCCTGCGTGGTACTAGGGATTGAACCCTGATCCTCAAGCATAATAAGCAAGCACCCTACCACTAAAAACCTTTGAAATTAGGAATGTTATAACATCTGAAACCTATGAAATAGATCCATATGCTCACTCTGACCTGCCCACCAATCCAATGTGCTATCAATGTAATTGGTAAATACATTGATGTATAACCTGTTTTTTTGTGGCTATACAAGTTCATGTAGTATTTCCTATAACAAGAAATGGAGTAACCCGAACCCATGCTCTGGACTTCATATCTGAATTCCCATCTGCTCATGTTTGTCGCCAGATGAACTCTTCCTCCCTTTGGAGCACAGGCTGTGTTTTGTAGGTATTCTATGACTAACTACCAGGAACATTTTCACTTCTGAATGAAACAGTTAATAAAAATCTCAAAACGCAACATTGTTGCAAGCACAATGTAACAGCTATAGAATGCGGAACTATTTTCAAAGATTAAAAGGCCTGCTGATCCACTTTGTGCAACTTGAGAAAACTCAACTCTGTTCCGGAAAAAAAGGACCACGTGCCGGTTAAAATGAACTAGATTTTGATGCTTAAAACTATACACTTAAACTAACCAGGGAAACTTATTCTGGATTTGTAAGGCGATTGATTTCTTCTAGCTTCCTATGCTGATAGGGTTCTAAAGACTTCCTGAGGCCCCGCAGGTCCCTTCCCCCATTACATTTCCTATCCATTTGTGAGATGAGTCATTTGTAGCATCTCGAGGGACCCTCCAGTCCTCGCCGCGCCTCTGCTGATGCCTTCCTGATAAGAAACAAGCGGAACTCTCGCTAAGGGAACAGCAAAACGAAACTCTGGACTTGGCCCAAGCGCTTCTCGATGTCACCACGATGGATTTCAGGGAAAGCTCCTCTTCCTGGTCCTGAACGTCTAGCTTCCTCCCGCAGTTCTCTCGGTGGCCCTCAGAGACAGGAGGTGACAAGATACGCCAGGCACCGGGCGTGCGAGAGAGGGACCGGGGAGGGAGAGCATCCTCACCGCCGCCCAGGGCAGCCGGGACAGCGCGCAGCTTGCGCAGAGAGAGCGCCGCCGCGCGCGCTCGCGGGGGGCGGGGGGCGTGGCTTCCGCCGGCGCGGTCCCGCCCCCGAGCGCCGGGCAGGTCACGTGACGGCCGCGCTCGTCCCCGCCGAAGCGGAGGAGAAAAGCCTGCGAGGCGGCTGCGGCGGTGGCCGGGAGGTGAGCGCCGGGGGGGAACCGGTGTGGCGAGCGCGGGTGTCCGCGGGCTGCGGGCCTCCGCGGGCGGCTCTGCGGCTTCGCGGGCTGCGGGGCGGGGCTCGGAGGCGGCGGCGGGTCGGGGGCCGGTAGGACGCGGACGCCCTTGGCCAGCGCGGCCCGGACGGGCGCGCGGAGGGAGGCCGAGCTGGCGCAGCCCGGACCGTGACGGGCGCGGCCCCGGCCATTACTGCGCAGGCCGGCCTGCGGGCAGCGCTGCCCGGCTCGGCCGGGCCTCGGTCGGCCCCGGGCTGCACTCTCGTCTGCCGCCTGCCCTGCTGCCGCCGCTGCTGCAGCAGCCACTGCTGCTGCTGCTGAGCCTCTGGGTCGTGCCCAGCGTCCCGAGCTGTCCCCTCTTCCTTGCGCTGGCGGAAGCGGCCGAGTGTTCTTGTTTTGATGGCTACCAGAACCCGAAACCACCGGGAGGTGTCGGAATACGCTTCGGGCCTCCCAACCCCGGTGCATCTTGAGAGCCCAGGCTGACGCTTTGTTCTGGTTGCTGGGTGCCGAGTCCTCTCCCTTGCCCTGCACCCCATCCGAGAGTGCACGGGATTCCCATTGTTGTCGCTGTCTTGTTTGCCTGGACGTTTTTATTTTAGAGAAAGAGGGCTGTATCACATTGTGAGGATGTGGAAATGGAACCGTCCTCTGGTTAGGTAAGGTGTTCGGGCTGTAAGTTGTTAGCATACGCATTCTGACAACTACATTTTGTCTTTTCTCTGGGTACTCTTTAAGCACTTCTCAAGTTTTCAACATTTTGTTTTCTTTTTACAACGCCGAAATACTAGAGAACTTAGGGAAGAAGAATACCAAGAGGAGGTAGAAAAGGCTTTGTTCTTTGATTGACATTTCAGGTGCCAGGGTGTGTTTCCCCCCCCTCCCGTGTGTGTGTGTGTGTGTGTGTGTGTGTGTGTGTGTGTGTGTGTATTTTGTTTTGCAAACTGGATGTGCACTTGGAAATTGGGTTTTGAAAGCTGTATGTTATCATCGAATTTGAATACATAGAACATTTCAGTAAATGATCTGTGACTTTTTAAAGGACATGGCATTTTGAAAACAAATGAAGAAAATGACCCACACAGAACAGCAGTTACTACGTGTAAAGTGTCTGGGTGCCATGAAAACATGAAAATAGGTCAAGTAAATCTCTTTTTTAGAGAGAAAACTAGAGTGACTGCCATGCTAATGGAGTTTTGGATGTGTTTACTTGGGCCTCGGATGTCATCGAGTTGAACACTTGCGTTTATTGATGTGTCAAATGGGCCTGTTTAATGTGGGCCGACAGAAAACCGTGCTACTTAAACATTTGAAGGTTTCTGTTTCACACTAGCCAAGACTTGAATAGAGCTGTAATCGTGGTGAAGCGACCCAAATAACTGGTCATTAGATAAGAGGAATGCAAAAATAAATAATATATATTTTTTTCTTTTAGGAGACATGTCAAATGGTAAAGTCACTTTTGAACTGTCGGTTTTGTCTTTGTTTTGTTTCTTCAAGAATCTAAGATGATTTCTTGACTTGGAAGAAGAAAATAATAGGAAGAATGTTTTCATATTCATCTGTTTTCTGGTTTGTAGGCATTCATACAGGAGGAGTACTGTATGGAAGAGTACTGTATAAATAATAAGTAAATAAATCTTTAAAAATAAAAGACATTTTAGACATTTTCTGTTAGCATGTATGAGTTTGAAGGATTTAACACATTTTTCTGGCAGTGTTAGAGATGGAAGGTAGTGAGTCTTCAAACCTCTTGCCTTCTTGATAACAGAGCCTGAATTTGTGAAACTGCTGACTGGGTTAGAAACAGTCTTTTTGGGTTTAGAAACTATGTTTATATTAGCCTACAGCCTCCTTTGCTTTGTACACTTTCATTTACGACTCTAGTTAGTTAATACAAAGCCTGTGGTTAAAGGTCTGTTAATTAAAATGTTTAGAATTGCATAGAATTACAGAAGAATGAACTAACAGAAGCATCTGAATGACTTGACCAAGGTCACAGGTCTTAATTAATGAGAGGACTTTCTTATTTACAGAATGGTTGCTGGCCAGGAAATATGGTGTTTGTTGAATTAGATGTGTCTCTTGACATTTATTGAAATAAATACAAAGCCCATTTGTAGAGAAGGAATTGAAAGGTTTACACTTAGTATGAAAACTGTGATGGCAGTAAATAGAGTCATATGATGATGCTTGTTTTTAAGAACAGTGATACAGGAGACAAAAAGATCCCTCAAAAATATGGGACCCCTATTACTGAGGAGTTTTAATAGGATACTTGTTTCCAAGTTTGTCTTAGGCTTTTTTTTTAAAGCCTATGTGGTGAAGTACAAACTTGATACATTGTGACAATTAAGTACCTGTCTGTCCAATTTGGTAATCTTTCTTAGGAAGTTTTTAGATGTGTGCATAAAATCCCACCTGACCTCTACTTTCTTTGCTTGTGCTTATAATAAATACATATGTAAATAAAATATATATACCTTGTAAGGTTTGAAGTAGACCCCCTATCCTTGGCATGTTTTCTATACAATACTGTTTTGTATATTTTGATTAAAAAATAAATTATTTAATTAAATTTTAACTTTAAATAGGAAAAACAGAAAATTTTCAAGTCTATGTAATTTGATATTTATATTTTTATTTGCATTGTGGTTATATGTTCCTCGTTTTCTTTGCTTCACCCTTTTTTTTTAAAGCCAATATTTTACTAAATTCTGTTATCTGGGGACAGTGAACTTTTAAAATGTTTAACTGGCTTAAAAAATGGAATTACTAGTAATCCTAATACGTGAGGAATTAACAGTGGAGTCCAGTGATTATATTTTGAATTTCTTTAGTGGTTATAATTTTTAAGTAACATCATTTGACTTTATTTTTCAGTTTGTTTTTTAATTTAGTTGAGTTAATGGATAAAGATCTGAATTCATTGCTAATCTATAAACCTATTTCTATAAATTTATTCTGTCATATTTCTTCACAATTGCTGAGGGGCAAAGAACCTTGTTTCTCTTCTGTTTTCATGTTACTTTTTAAATTTGTATTTGAGTTTTGTGTACAATTTAAAAATCATCATGGGAGGAATTATTTATATTTGAATCATCTATGTTTTGAAACTATCTAGCACTAGTTTGAAATCATCACCCCCCCCTTTTAAAAAATTTTTTATTAAAATGAAATTACCTTTCTGACTTTAAAAACATCTTGTTTGAATATAAGTTTTGTGTGTATGTATGTGTGTGTGTGTGTCTTCATAGGACTCTTCTGAGTGTTCCGTGGCATGTATACTCTGGGTTTTTTTGTTTGTTTGTTTGCTTACTTTTGTTTTTTGTTGTTGTTTTTTACCTTTTGACATTATAATTTGCAAGGCTGTAGTTAATGGGTCAGTTTGGCAGCCTCACCTAAATCTGTCAACTTTGACCACAACAGAATGTATACACAGTTTTTTGTTTGTTTTAAAATCTGTGTGCAGCGAAACTATCATACGGGGTTTAGTTTTTCTGTTCACTGATTATTTTAACAGTTTGTTAGCCTTATTTTTTTAAAGGAGCCATGTTAATACCTGAGACACTATGGATCCGCGTTGGTGGGCATAAGAGAGGCTCGCCGAGCTCAGCAGCTCTGAGTCGTGGGGAATATAAAGTAGATGTGGATTTCAGAACACATACACATACAAGTCCATTGAGGATTTTCTGTTGGATACATAATGAAATGGTAATTCTGATACATTGAGTTATATAAAGTATATTTAAAAAATTAACCTGTCTCTTTTTATTAGCCTTAATGTAACTAGTAGAAAATTTAAAATTAGGTATTGGCTTGTTACAAGCCCCTTTTAGATAATGTTAGCTTTTTCTAAAAGTTTTTTTGTTTCTTTGTGATGAGCTTTTCCTTTCTTCCCTCCTTTTTTTTTTATTTTTTTTTATTTTTTTGAGTGTGACAGGGTGTGTGTGTTTTGAGATAAAGCCTCAGGAGCTCAAGCTGGCCTGGAACTCCTGGCTCTCTTCCTGCATTTGCCTCTCCTGTGCTAGGACAGCCTTTTTTTTTTTTTTTTTTTATCAAAAGACGTACTGTACTTAAATTTGGATCCTATCTCAAAGCATCAGTAGCGTCTTGACCTCCGAGCCATATGCCTTCAGAGCTTGATGTCCTTCTTTGTGAATGGTATAGTCTCAGTTCCTAGGCTGTTTTGAGGATGCAGCGACAGAACTGATTACCAGTGATGCATCCCTGACCTCAGCGGTCACATACGTACCAGGAGACGTGAGTCTAGTCTGGGCTTTAGATAGTCATTGCCCAGGAACCAACCCTCTGGGAGTGCTGATGCTGCTCCTCGGGGACCTAGGTTTCTGTGAGCACTTTAGTTCACTTTCCTTCCCCAAAATTTTACTATTCATTTTGTCTCAACTTTGAAAATTCTATCTGTGAGATTTAAAAAAGCGGGGTGGGGAAAGTCACCGTAACCTGCAGTGTTTTAGGAAGTTTATGTACTGTGCACTCACCGAGATACTGTGTGAATCCTGTGTACTTCTGGAAAGTTATTCCCATTTAGCTCGAGTCATATTTGTTGATGGGATGCTTTGACAGAGCCAGCAACTTTTGAAAATGAACGCATAATTGAAAGTAAGACAATTTTAAGAATGCACTGAATAAATAATGGTGGTATTTGAATTTATCTTATTGTCAAAGATCATTGGAGGAAGAAAAAATCAGTAACTTAAAATTGGTGGAAAGAATTTCTAAGAGTCCTATCTTATTATTTAGGGCAGAATAAATACGAAAAAAGAGTGTAAAAGGCAAAGTAAAAGTATTTTAGCCATGTTTTTAAAAGAGCTCACATTAGCTCGTGAGAAATTGTCCTGGGATGTTCTTCGTGGTCTCTTAGGAATAAACTCTTAAGTAGATAGGTGAGGTGAGGTGAGTGTGTTCTAAGGGACAGGTAGGATTGGGGTGAGAAAGTGGTCTTACCGTAGTAGATGCTCTGCTGTTGTTTACTGAGTGCCTAGTAAAAGCTGCCGCCACTTAGCTGTCCAAACACAGGAGTTCTTAAAGACTCATATGGGTTATTTTGAAACTTACCTGCTTCAGTTTACTTTGATCTTTTAAGTACAAACCAGTTGTAGAGATAAAATAGTTATAAATATGATGGGTAAGTGAATAGGCAGAACAGTTGTGCTTTATTAAAGAGAAAGAATATGTAAATAAATGCATGAAAAAGTAAAGACTTAGAAATAGGAACCTAATTTTTTTCTTTGTATTTCATTGGGAGGTAAAAGGCACCTTTTCTACTTCTAAACAATGATCTAGGATTTTTATAAGAAATGTACGAACAAAGTTTACCATTCAATCATCTGTGTGCCTGGTGTAAGTGGTTAAGATGATTGATTCAGTTGTAAACCACCTGTAAGAGAAGGATAGACAGCAGATATCCAGCAAGGTTTTTGTGCGCGCGCGCACACACACACACACACACACACACACACACACACGAACATGGTTGAAGTGTAAAGTGGCTTCTGAGTCATAGTCCAATAGCATGAGGAGTGAGGTGCAGAATGTCTGTATCCTTGATTTTCCAGACCTAAACTCCGTCTCTCAGGAGGCAGTATATAGATTACTGTCTCCTCTGGCGATTCTTAACTTTATTACATACCTTTATCAAGAAAAGGCTGTTTGCTGTTTGGCTGTCTATATTCTTGAGGTTTTAATCTACATTCTGGAGACTCCTTAACTAGTCATTAGCCAGGTGACTTCTTTGCCTTTCAAAAGATAGAAAGCTGGTAGATTCTAGAGCTATAGCTGTGGTGCTCAGTTATGTTGTAGGTTTTCTAAAGGATTCCTTATCTTTGTGTATTTGGTAGTTTCCAGAAGAGTACCTTCTCAGATGAAACTCAGGTGTTTTATGGAAGGCTGGTTGCTAAGGATAAATAAGAGAGAGTTATTTATTTAGGGTTCAGAGACCTAAAGCCTTTGTTTCCCTGAGGAGTTTGTCTTTATTGTATAGACTGGAAGACTAAAATTTGACTACTAGTATAGGGGGATCATGGTCCATATTTTCCAGATGTATCACTCAGAGGTATAGTGAACAAATTTAAGGCTGGTTCCATAATAGTATGTAGACATAGATTCCCAGAATGTTCAGAATAAAAGACGACAGAATTTGGTGGGATGTAGTGCCGGAGAAAGTGATCATTAAGTGGCTAAGACATGGAACCAGGAATGGCACATTGTAAGCTTCAGCAGAGAGAATTGTTTATGTGTACCACAGGATGGGGTTGCTAAACAAGGGTTCTGTTAGGGAAGAACTTTCAGACGATTCTAGATTGGGCAGGAAAGGAAATGACATCAGGAACTGTATAAAGGAAGGAAGATGGGGAAGTGGCCAGAGGTGACCATAACAGAAGAGCAGGTGTGGGAATGAGAGATGATTTGGAAGGAACAACTTTTGGGGTCCAGGAATGGGACTGTGACTTCTGATTTTAGAAGACAATGCCAAGTGGTACTTTTTATTGCTGAGAGGAAGTAAAGTTACTTGCATTTAGGAATTCAAAAGTTGAAAATAAAGGACGGTTATATTTTTAGACTCATTTCATCAGTATCTCTAGCCTAGAATCTACAGTGGGAGGGCCCTAAAACGCATGTTTCTTTCTTTTTTTATATATGATTTTATTTATTTAATCACTTTACAGCCTGATCAAATTCCCCTCCTTCCTCTCCTCTCAGTCCCACCTTCATGCCTTCCTCTCCTCCATTCCCCTCTCTCCTTCTCAGAGAACGGGAGGCATATTTATTTCTAAGTTACCTACTTGTTTCTAATGAATGTATATTGGAGCATTATTTAAGGACATCGAAGAAGCTGGGCTGTTCATTCTCAGGATATATAATGTTTGTGGGCTGTCAGGACATAGCATGAAGAGGATGATATGTAGCACGGCCAGTGGCGGAGTCTCAGAGTAAGCCATGCTGGAACAGAAAATGTTCCCTCTGACCTGCAGATGGGGAGCAGATGGTGCTGTGTGAAAATGGGCAGTGTCTGTTTTGAGTAGGCTGTGGGAGGGATGTGCAGTGGAAATCCTGTGATATCTCTGAACTTTTCAGCACCATGAAGGCAGAATGTAAAAGCTGGTAGGAAGAGTAGAATGCTCTTTAAAGCCAGAGCAAACTGAAGCAGATATCTTAGAAACAGTTTCGTTAGTTACTGAGAAAATTCTTTGGCCTTGAAACAAATTCTTTGTTTTCTTAAACATGTGGTGAGGTAAGGTGGTATCTGTTCAGAGACCACGTGCTACATTTACCTGTAGCCATCAGAATCTTAGATAGGTTAGCAAGATAGATGCCAACTCTGAGAGGCTTATGGAACTGAAGACAGGATCCAAGTTCTCTCCCTCTCTTGGCTTTCCTGACTGTGCAGTTGGTAACTTCATTAGTGACGATGAGAATGTCTGAAGTAAATTTTGCATGGATGATGTATCTTGAAGTGGGCACACCACTGGAAGGAGTACTGTGTGAGAACAACCAGAGGCTTGATGATGGTTTGGGCCTCCCGGGACAACCAGCTGGATAAAAAGTTGGCAGAAAGGGTGTAAAAAATATGTTTTTGCATATAAATAGGAGAACCCTTTGCTTAATGTGCTTATAGCACCAGTGTAGGAAGGCAGTGATGCTAACTCATTCAATATTAACAATGGGCTATTGATATTTTGTTGCCACTTTGACAGGTTCATACAGAACTTATTTTACTCAAAAATATTTATTGTAGAATGTGAGAAATATGACATAATCTTGAACTATTTGTAAATGTACAACTCTACATAGCTAATTTTATTCACAATATATATATAGTTATCCTTACTGTATATTTCTAGAAACATTTCATATTCCACAGAAAACATGTACTTTGTCGCAGGTGCTCCCCATTCTCCCTTCTTTCTTGTCTGTGGTATCCCTTAAGTTGGTCTTTATGAAATTCCCTATTCTTACACATTAACTACAGTATTTCTCCTTTTCTGCCTGGCTTATTTCACTTGAGCAACATGTTTTCAGGTTGCATCCATATCAGACAAACTTCATTCTTCTTTTGTTCTGAGTAGTGTGCTCTTAAATGCCATGTTTCCTTTAGCCTTCATCTGAAAAGAAACACTTAGTTTCATCCATCCCGACTTAAAACTGTCATGTGACTGTCTGTGTGAGTCCTGGTTTTCTTTTGGACCGAGCAGTGGGATCGTGTGCTGTGCAGTAATTACTGAACCCCCACGGGTTCAGTAATAGGCGGCGGCATATTAACTTGTACCAACAGTCATCAAAGCTCTGCTTCTTCTGCCTCCTTATGCACACGAATTTCTACAGTCTCCTGGTAGACATGTGTTGTGGCTCTGAGTTACACTTTCCTAGTGACTGTCAGCACTTGGGACATTGCCATGTGCTCATTGGTCACCTTCTTCTGAAAATAATTTCTCAGGCCTGTTGCTTATAATGTTTGTCTTTCAATGTTTGTCTCTTTGGGTTTCTATATGTATTAAGATAAGGTCTATTTATATGTTCCTTTTGTTCACTGTGCTATTGGTGTTTTGTGTTCCAGTGCTTGAAGAGTTTACCTTCTGTTGGCTTCCAATATTTTAAGGATTTGATTATGATAATTTGGTCATTGATCCACTTTAGGTTAATTTTTATATGTTGTGTTTAATGTGACTTGGTTGTATATGTAAATACAGTTGTCTCAACATTTATTGAGGAAATACTCTTTCCCCATTGAATGGGCTTGAATGACTTTTCCAATGATCATTTTGCCATACAATGTTTATTCCTTCATTTGGTGAAAAGATTTATTTACAAATTTTTACATGTATGTGCCTGTATAAGTGTGTGAGAATCACATACATGTAACAGCCTGTGGAGGTCAAAAGAGGGCATCAGATTGCATGTAGCTGACATAGATGGTTTGGAGCTGCTTCGTGGGTGCAAAGTCTCAAAACCTGGATCCTCTGCAAGAACAGTAAATACTCCTAACTACTGAGCCATCTCTTCAAGCCCATTTCTGGACTCTTTATTTTATTTTATTGATATATTTATCTATGCATAATTCCATACCATATCTTATTATTCCAGATTTGTAGTAAGTAAAGACATTGGGAGGTGGCAGTACTGAACATCTTTCTTATATTTTTAAGATTCTTTTAGCTAATTTTATATGAATTTAAGGATCAGCTTTTCTGTTTATGCAAAAAGGCTGACAAGATTTTAGTAGGAATAATATTCAATCTGTAGATCACTCTGAGGAGCATTTGTCTTCTCTTGTTTTTCTGTTTATGAACACTGGTTACCTTTTTCAGCCCTATTTTATTTACTTTAGTAATATTTTTTATCATTTTTCAGACAAGTCTTGCTTAAGTCAAATCAAAACTAATCTATTACTTTCAATGTTGCTGTAAATGGATTTTTTTCTTTGATTTCTACTTTGTTGACTGCTATTATATTGGAAGACACTATTGCTGTTTTGTTTTTGGTTGGTGTGTGTATTTGTGTGTACAACTTACAATCTAAAACTTTGCTGGACTTGGTTATTCAACTTCTCCATATAGAGAAAATATTTTTTTTTCCCTATCAGTACAAGTGAAATTCTCTGCTATTTTGTGTTGCTTTATTGCTTTCAGTCTATTTTCTCTGCTAGACTTTCCACTGTATCAATAGCAGTGGTGAAAGAAAGTATTGTTGTTCCTTGTCTTCACTTTAATTTTAAAATAAAATTTGCCTGTATATTTTGTTAAAAGCTCATACTTAATGACTAATTCATTGATTTTGGTTTGTAGAGGCATGGCTGTTGATACTGTTTCTCTTTTGCAGCACAGAGAATGAAACAGCAGTGGAAGAAAAAAATCCTCCAAGTTGGCTGACAATCAGTAAAGAAGATGTTTTCTTTTCATGATCAGTGCCTCTGGGATCTGTGATAGAAATGTGAGTATAGAGTCTAGTGCCATGGCTTTCCTAAAGCTCAAATTGAGTGAGTGGGATAATACTTGTGTTTAGTTTTAATTATGCAAAATGAAATTTTATTGACTTCTCAATGCTTTATAGAGTTAGCAGTCCTATGCACACTACATGATTATGATCAAGATTTCCAATCGTTTTCACATAGGGAAACTGGTAGTGAAGGCTAAAAGGTTGGAGGCCTCATTTTCCATCTTCATTTTGCATAGTAATTTACTTAAATAACCAAGGTAAGACATTTCAGCTTTTATTAAAATGAGAAAGATATCTGGATTTTCAAAATAATTACTAAAAATTTGTTTCATGAAATTTAAGGATTTTTTCATACAATACCAGATTTAGAATTAGTACATAATTTTTTATTCATATCAATTCACTCTGATTTTTATTTTTATTAGTTGTGTTTTCCTGTCATTTAGGTTTTATGTCATAAGCCTTCAAGTGTTTGACCTTGAACCTGCTCATATTAAAGTTCCTTATACTTTAATGAAATATTTCCACAATGAACACCATAATTCTAGATCGTGGGAAATGAAACCTTGTTGACTTTTAGTCTTGATCATTACAGTGTTCAGATTCCTTGCCCAGAGGGACTCTTGCAGATACGATTTCAGTCTCTAAGTTTGACCCAGAAACTAGGTTATTGCCTCCATTTTCAGCGTGATAACTCCACTAAAAGTATGACCATACCATTCTAAGTCAGTGTTGAGACTTGATAAGAGAAAAATGATACATAAGTCACTTTCTTTAAAATTAGAGATGGTGAATCTTGTGTGATTGTGTGCCCACCCCCACCCTACACCCACACCCACTGCACGCCACTGGGGATCACATTCAGGGCCTTGGCCTTGTGCTTGCTAGGCCAACTCCCTACCATTGAGACAGACTCTCCCATCCCTGTGTGTCTGTGGTGTTGGAGGGGGATCAATCTTGTCACCAGGGAGCTCACTGTAGCTTGAGTAAATCAGATGGGACAGATGTCATCAATTAAATGGTAGTACAGGTGCCATATTGAGATAAGATGCTTTGGGGAAGAGAAGAAGAAGAAATTAGTATCATGAAGAAATTAGTATCATAAAGGACTGAAAGTAAAGAGAACAAGAAAGGAGATGCCAAGCATCAAGATGCTTAGAGCACCAAAAATGGATACTGTATACAAGAGTGGATGAAAGAGCTGGCAGAGTTAAAGGAGTGAAATACACCAGGTGCCTGGTGTGTTTTTCTTGGGTTATTAAATTTAATCATTAAATATAAGAGTAGTCTGTTTTAGTGTTGAAGGAACAGAATTAAAGAAATTGTCATTTTTCTGGAAAAGTGTTTACCAGATTTCTCTAAGAATAATCCCTTGGGGCGTTTATTTAAAAACACAGACTACTGAATCCAAATCCAGACCCCTGGGTTCAGAAATAGCACACTAGCTAATTCCGATCTATAGGCAAATTTAGGAAGTGCTAACAAAGAAACATGTTGTAACTAAGATTTTAACTATTTTAGTGCAAAGGCTGCATCACTGATCGTGAAATTCTGTGCTTAGGAATATTGGATTATGTATTATTACATACTGGATTATGTATACAGTAGGAAACTATTAAAGGTTGAGAGATGACAAATAAGCATGACTGGGCTGAGGAGAAGCCAGGGAGAAAGAAGACTGAAGTCTATTGGAAGGTTAGTATTTTTTGCAAGGAGTAGCTACAGGTCTGGAATTAAGTCACAGGTTTTGGAATGAAGAGGCAGACTTTAAGGCAGTTGTGGCCAGGGGTTAGATGAGAACTAAAGATGGTGATTTATCCAAGGTGGAGATCAAAGAAAACAGCATTTAGGGAGCAGGTTAGTTTGTTTTTAGTCATGGTCAATTTCAGATGGCTAGAGAGTACTGAGGTAGAAGTTTGGAATACTGAATTAGAAGTACAGGTCTGAGGTGGAACTAGAAGTGAGGTTCGAGGAATCACATAAGTCCGTACATGTGAGATGCTCGGAATACTGACCAAGCATATAATGTATACAACAAGGAATCCCTGCAGAGTGTTAAAGGAGTACTGATATTGAAGGGGTACTAAAGGGAAAGAAATTAAAGAGATTAATTGAAAATGTGCATTAGAAAAATAATGGGTTCAAGTATAGTAAGGCTAAAGGAAGCCATTAAATTACTTTTGAGATGCTAGTCAGAGTTCTTAAGGACTTAGAGTGAGTGTGGTACAAAAATTAAAGGGCTAGGTTTTGCAAACAGCTGGCAGAACCCCACCCTGAACCAGAAACAATGTCCTTAAGGCAGAGTACAAGTCCAGCTGTGTTTTGTGGATGATTCTTTGGCTTGTGTAAGTGGTAAGTGATAACAGGAGTCAGAGTGTTTTATAACTAAGAGGGTTAAAGAAATTTTATAACTCTCTTTGGGGCAACAGGAAATAAAAGGTGTCTGGCTGAGTTCCAGGGAACCAGCTTGATGCTCCCTGACAGTCAGAGCAGCAAAGCAGTGTGTGGAGCTGCACAGCATAGCTAAGGAGTTTCTGCTTTACCTTGCTTTGGCAAACATCTCTCCTCTTGTCTTTTGTGGGGGATGTCAGCTTCCTGTCTTCTGAGCATTTTTTAGATCCCTTACAAGCTGTTTATAATTTTAAGTATTGGGTAACCCAAGGTTTTGTGCCTATTTTTCTTGCTCTTGCTACTCATTTAATTTGGGTGTTGGTCACCCACCCATTTTCATGTCCTTAAGAACCATGTATTTGTTGACTGCTCATAACTAAATGATTTTGTATGTGGATCAGTTTTAACCTTTTTAAATAAGATTTCATCACATTCTTAAAAGATTATGACCTAAAATCTATCTAAGAGCCATTAGCATTGAGAGTAAATGTGTCAGTTCTATAAGATAGAATAAGGACAAGTTTTTGCACACTTCTTACCAAGTACATGTTACCCATTTAAGATGAATGTGTCCCCTTTCCACTGGTGACCATTTCCTCCTTTATGCTCCCAGTTGTGTGTTGTGCTCAGCTCATAAAGTGTTTGCTGTGCAAATATAAGGACCATAGTTTGGATCCTTGGCACCAACATAAATACAGGGTGGGTAGAACAGCTTGTAATTTCAGCACTTGGAAGACAGAGAACATCCCCAGAGCAAGCTGGCTAGCCAGACTAGTCATAATGGAGAGCTGTGGTCCCATTGAGAGACACAGCCTCAATGAAAAAGGTAGAGGGCAATTGAGAATGACTTCTGAAGTCAGCCTTGGGTCTCCATGTGCACAAGACCACACTTATGATCCCACATGTGCCTTCATTCATGTATACCCCTACACCAACACCCACACACAAATACACACATACAGGGGTGGGGAGAAGAAATTTTTATTAGAATTACTTTCTTTGATTTAAATGTCAAGAAATGAAGGTTTTTGAGACCCTAACAAAAGGTGTACATAGTCAACTCATTTGTGTTGGGCAAGGATAGATGGTATTGATGATTGAGGGGTTAACAAGCATATGCTTATACCTGTAAATTCTGTTGTTTCAAAAAAGCATGACAAAGTAGTTTGAAGTTCCAGCAGTGAGAAACATGTTAAGCTGTGTTTGCTTGATTATTTCAATTGAGGTAGAAAGAAGTTACACTTCCTTGATTTCTGTAACATGAAGTTGCAGGTAAAGGGGCTTATTGGGTAATGTCACTAACGGTTCAAAAATAATGCATACATTAAGCATTTCTGTGATTATTCTCCATAGGTACTGTGTTGTGTCCTTTCCTTTGAGTACAATCTAATTACAGATTAGTATAATTTTGAACATGTGTCTTTTGAGAAACCAGTGTTATAGGAAAAGGTAAAATAATAGGATGTAAGATTGAATGGGTTGTGATGAAAGTCAAAGGATATTTCTTTCTGAATTTTGAAAGTATAAACACTTTTATTGGCTACCCCTTTTACAGCCAGTGGACCTAGTCTGGAGTGATTCTGGATGAAAAGCAAAGGTCCTTACAATAGTTGAGTTTGAAATGGTTGGTCTGTGTTTAGCATAGCTGAAAGGAGCCACAGAGGTGAAGGAGAAGAAAAAAATCGAGAATTAACGAGTAGAGAGGCTGTCACTCATTTAAATAGCAGCTGAGTCATGATTTTTTAATCTCTGGGACTGTCACCTTCATTCTTACTCTTCAGTCTTTGTTCCTATCTCTAGTCGGCTCTGTTTTGTTGTTTTTGTTTTGTTTTGTTTTGTCTTTCCTTTTCATCTGTGGTTTCCTGTCTGTGGAATACCAAGACATGTTTCTTTAGCATAGTAACAGTTTTGATGATTTGTTTTCTGGCTGACATTTTAGCTCAATCTCCTATTATTCATTGTTTACTTGATTTGGGACCTTATGTTTGTACTTGCCTGAAATCCACCATCCAGCTCCCCACCTGCTCATCTCAAACTTTGTAACTTATGTCCGTTCATTTCTGCTCATTGCTTTTAGTATGGTAACACATTTTCACTACTCTTGTTTGTGATTTTCTAGTTGCATATACACCCTATTTGTTATTAAATTGTAACACTGTTAATGTTAGTGTAGGTTCTTAATAAGGCAGGAAGTTCAAGTGTCCAGGTTGAAGGTAGGCCTCATCAGTTAAGTTTGCTTGCTGTTGAGACCAGAGTTCAGTTCCCCGCAGTCACTTCTGGCAGCTCACAGCCACCTGAAACTGCTACACCAGGTGATCAGCAGCCTTCGACTGGCCTCTCTGCAGGCGCCCACAAACGTGTGCATGTCTGTCTACATAAATTAAAGTGCCAAACTTTTTTTATCAGTGTTAAATTCACTACATCCAAGTTGGCAAAACCTTCCTCTCTTCACAGCAAAATTTATATATTTCTCTCATGATTATATGGAACTTTCAGAGAACTTTAGAAACTGATTTTTTTAAATTTTTACCTGAACTTGTACTTTCCAGGGAAGGAAATTTAAGCTACCAGTTTACCTGAATGACTAAAGCATGTAGTTAATACAGGAAATTGAAACGTGGGTTTTTAGATTTCTTGTTTAGTACTGGTTCACTGTGTCTTATACTACATGTGATACTTTGCTGTGGGTGCTTGCACCTTCCATTTTTTGGCTCTTTGTTGTGCTTTCTCAGCACTGATCATAAGTGCACTGACAGAACCTTCTCATATTGACAAGATATGTATAAGTATTTTGCATTGAAAAAGTTTTGATCTAGATATTTGAGCTTAATTAAAATAAAATGAAAATTAAATTTGTTTTACAGTTATGGTGCATTCATGGTTATGCTTTAAAAAATGTCTTTTGTTTTAGCAAACAGTTGCAAAATCTTATGTGAAAATACATAGACCACACTGTAGGTAATACACAGGATGACTGGATGCCTGAGTAGAGAGGATTTTGATAGGAGATGAAGATGGTGTGAGAAGTGGCAGCCAGACCATTCATAGCATCCGTAGAGATTTTGGGAGGGGAAGTGTGGCTGAATTAAACACCACATGCAGTCATTTAATAATTGATGTTTGACGGCTTGAGAAAGGTCGAATGGGTACTACATGGTTTGAGCCTATAGCAGATGATATTAATATGACTTATTGATGTTTTGAATGCAGTAAGGCAGAAAGGCAGTTTAGGAGCTAAATTTCTGACTTGAATAAGCAGGGTTGCTATTAAGTGAAGGCTGCAAATTGGTGTTGTCTGGAGTTATAATTTGAAGAATCTAGCTGTTTTCCATAATCTCTTCATACTGATTCTGAGCAGATTTCCTGCTTTTAAATGTTTGCATTTAATTCTGTCTTAAATTCTGTGGCCGGATAGAAATAGCATTTAAGATATGCTATGTATGTATGCTTTGATTAATTTTTGCTTTTTTTTTTTTGCTTAGTAACTATACTTTTCATTGGTTCCTGCATTAAGATACAACTACAGATGAAAAGAGGGTTTTATATATACAATTTTTCCAGTTTACTTTCACGTTCCTTCCCTTCTTTCTTTTTTTGTGAATAGGGTATTATGTAGTCCAGGCTGGCATTGAATTTGCTGGTTTCTCTTCACTTTGTTTGTCTTCCTTGTATAGCATATGGTTTGCAAGGACAGGTGATTACTAAGTATTTTTTGAGCTAGTGAATTAAATATTTAGAAAAGTCTAAACCTGACTTCAATTTCCTTTTTCTTCTCATTTTCTTAGGATGGCTGGCTGTGGTGAAATTGACCACTCAATAAATATGCTTCCTACAAATAAGAAGGCGAATGAGTCCTGTTCTAATACTGCACCTTCTCTGACAGTTCCTGAGTGTGCCATTTGTCTACAAACGTGTGTTCATCCAGTCAGTCTACCCTGTAAGCATGTGTTCTGTTATCTGTGTGTAAAGGGCGCTTCATGGCTTGGGAAACGATGTGCTCTTTGTCGACAAGAGATCCCTGAGGATTTTCTTGACAAGCCAACCTTGTTGTCACCAGAAGAACTTAAGGCTGCAAGTCGAGGAAATGGTGACTATGCCTGGTATTACGAAGGAAGAAACGGGTGGTGGCAGTATGATGAGCGCACCAGTCGGGAGCTGGAAGATGCGTTTTCCAAAGGTAAAAAGAGCACGGAAATGTTGATTGCTGGATTTCTCTATGTTGCTGATCTTGAAAATATGGTTCAGTATAGGAGAAATGAACACGGACGCCGCAGGAAGATTAAGCGAGATATAATAGATATACCAAAGAAGGGAGTAGCTGGACTTAGGCTGGACTGTGACACTAGTACTGTAAATATAGCCAGAGAGAGCTCTGCCGATGGTGCGGACAGTGTATCAGCACAGACTGGAGCTTCTGTTCAGCTTCCGGTGCCATCTTCTACAAGGCCCCTTACATCAGTTGATGGTCAGTTAACCAGCCCTGTAACACCATCCCCTGATGCAGGCACTTCTCTGGAAGACTCTTTTGCTCATTTACAACTCAGTGCAGACAGCATAGCTGAAAGGAGCCACAGAGGTGAAGGCGAAGAAGATCGAGAATCACCGTCTTCTGGCAGAATACCGGATACCTCTGTGGAAGAGACCCAATCTGATGCCAGTAGTGAGAGTGAGGATGCCGCCGTGGTTGTTGCACAGCACCCCTTGCCCCAGCAGAGACTTTTGGTTTCCAGTACAAACCAGACAGTAGCTGAACAATCAGACCGATCAGGAACTGACCGATCAGTAGCAGGGGGTGGGACCATTAGTGTCAATGTCAGATCCCGAAGACCGGATGGACAGTGCACAGTGACAGAAGTTTAAACAAATGTCTTCAGCGTCACACTCAAGGGTGAAACGGATACCTGTAAATTTCTGCCCACATAACAGTATACTCATCCTTAGTAGTGCACTGCGGGAGTTGGGGTGGGAAGGGATATGGGAAGGACAGACCTGAAATTAAAATGTCTAACATGTCTCCGCTGAAATTTATTTAATGTGAGGAGTTGGGGTGTTGATAGTTGAGAGCTGTTCAGTCAGTAAGAACAAACACTTTTCTTGACATCTGTTTACTTTATAGTGTATTTTTTTTTAACTCTTTAGTTCTTTTGGCCAGTGTGTACCTGTGCATTAACAGTCCTCATCTGACTCTTGCACTACTTTATTTTTCTGCATGGATTGGTATAAATCATTACTAAAATTTGGCACCTGTGAGATAGTTGATATCACTATGAACAGGAAGCTTACTATGAGAACTAGACGACTAACACCTCCTTTATGGTTGGTCTTACCGAGCTAGGAATGTAAAGCTGCAGCTGATATGTTGTTTCAGAATCTGTAACACTTCATGGCGTTCCTTTCCATAAGATTTGCTGTCCTGTCCTTGTACTTTGAGGTTTCGCTTAGTCTGCATTTTTCTTTTTGATTAAGAAAACTTTATAATTTAATAAATACTAGAGTTTATCAAAAAGGATTTGTTTCTTTTTTGAGTCTGGAAAAAGGATGAAGGTACTTTGGTTTTTGGCTATAGGGCTTTTTAAAAGGTGTGGATTGAATTGATTGTGTTCTGTTCAAATTGTCCCTTACCAGAGTCTGATTTCTTTAGAAGAGAGTATGCAATGAGAACCTATCTATGGGCATTGTGCTTGGAATAAACATGTTTTGAAAGATTTTATGAAAAAGATCCAAAGGCCAGGAGATTTCAATTTCTCAAGCAGCTAATACCATTATTTCCATTTCCTTTACCAATCTCTATCAGTGGTATTACTAACTATCTGGGCTACACAGAAAACTTATAAGTGTTACAGATCCATAAGCCCACTTTATATTGGTTTGGCAAGGTAGGAAGTTTTGGTGAACACAGAATTGATAATTCGTCTCTGGAGATAACATATCTCTGTTTCCTTTAGAAAGTAGGATCATGTGTTATGTACTTCTAAATTAACCTTTATTAGAATTACCAAGGTAACAGTGCTACAACAGACAAAAAAAGTAAAAATAGTCACTATTTGAATGTCTTTTACTTGTTGAGACTAGTTAAGACAACTTCATTCTTAGACATACACTTTTAAAGAAGTGAATTCTGAGATGAATGTAAAGGTTAGGTTATGTGTTTTTATTAAATTTAGTTATTAAACGATCGCCACACAAAAACTAAAGTTATGTATTATTAAAAAATAAATCTTGTGAAAATTAATGTTTAAAGATGCTTCATGAATATTTAATAGTTTGATTTTTAAATCCCCATCAACACTATTGTTTTACTATTAACTTGAGAATTCCAGGGAACAATGCAAAGCTCTTTTTACAGCCAGTCAGTGCTCTACATAGTGGTTTTCCCTGTTTAGTGGGTCTTTTAAAATAGAAGACAGTTGAGAAGACAGCTTCAAATTCACAGACAAAGATGCACCAATCCTTTTTTAATGATGGACCATTTCCCATCAGTAGCTTAACTGTACAGAGTAGAAAAAAATGACTGATATTTCATATATGCCTCTCAAATCTCTCCCTGCTTTCTGCTTCATATGAAAGATTTGTTGAGGCCTTTTTGTTTTTATAAAATATTTCAACTTCTGAAAGAACAGAATAGCTAGACACAATAATATACACCAGCATTTGGGAGGTGGTGGCAGGAGGATCAAGACTGCCTTTGACTACATAGCAAGTTTAAGACCCTGCCTTCAAACTTAAGTATGTTACAAAAGACAAGTCCAGGCTAAGAATTACTACAGGAATGTAGAAATTGGTAGAAGTGATTTAAACAAATGATAAAGGGAAAAATACAGCAATGAATTTAAATATGGAAAATGCTACCCAAACCAAATAAGCATATTAACAGTCAACCTCAAATGAATTCTACTGCTCATTTTTAATACCACCTCACTTCCATCCATGTTCTCGCTGCAGCCTCACCTGTAATACACCCACATTTTAGAACCTATTTAGTATGTTTTCCTTTCTTAGCAATTGCCTCTAAATTTGCAGGTCCACCCCACAGTGTTCCCAGAACATCCCTTTCATTCTGTAATGCCTCCTCTAAATACAGTTCTCGGCCAGAACAAACAGATTTTTTTAAACCCCTAATGACATCTGGAGGTCCGTTGACAAATTGCTGCAGCCATTCTTGTGCCTCTTCTAGAGCCTTAGCTTCATCTGACGTCTGCAGGACCTCATCAGCCAAACCTATAGCTAAAGCCTTCGTGGAGTCCAGTTTGAGAGCGCCACTTAACACTTTGAGAGCTTGTCTGCTGCCAGTGATTTCAACCAGGCGGCTGGTGCCACCCCAGCTTGGAACTATACCCATGTCCTTGTGGACAAACCTGATCACACTGTCCACAGTCATTAACCTGTAAAAGCAAAAACGGAGAACTGTAACTCCATGTGCATACTAGAACAGTGAAGAAGTAAGTGCCTCAGGTCTGACAGGAGATCACTGACATAAAAACAATGTTGGAAAATATCCCCAGCTAGAACTCACCATACACTATTCAACAAACATTTGCTTTTGAAAGCAATATTTTTGTTTTAGCTTTTCCAAGCTTTGAAAAGAGCTCAGCCTCACATTTGAGGAACTTTATGTTAATAAATTTTCAGAGTAATGGTGACATAAACACTCACTTTATGGTTGAAGAAACATGCAATGGAAGCTAAGTAGCTCAGCCAAAGCCATTGAGCTTTGGTAACAGCAGTACTTGATCCTAGGTCATAGACTTCACTGTCTGGACCCTTCTCTCTTGGCACTAATCACAGCTAAACCAAAGCAGAATCAGGAATAGCAGTATAGAAGGTGCAATAGCTTAAACTGGACTGAGCAGGAAGTTCCTACTGGTTGTCCCCGACTACTGTTTCTATGAATAGGGTAATTCATAAAGAGAATAATGGGAGTTAACATACAATGTAGATAACGCTGCATGAAATAGCACAATGGCCATGTATTATTAGCAATCCTTTGCTTCTAAACAACCTAGGCAACCATCCTTATATATGGTTTATTATACAAGGTCAATTTTGTATGTTTGAAAAGTTCTATCACATTTATCTTTCATGTATGTTTGTGGGTACACATGCGATGGCATATATATGGAGATTAGTTGGTTCTCTCTTTCACCATGTCAGTCTTGCAGATGGGTCTTGGTTGGGTTGTCCGGTTTGTTGGGAAGTGCCTTCACCCACCCAGCCATCTTACTGACCTAATATGCTCTTTTGAATCCTATTTTACAACTAGTAAATCCTCAAGTAATCCTTGTAAAAGGATGCACTATAATCCTGCATATGTTCTTTATAAATAACATAGTATGCTTGTGCTGACACACCATTTAATATACATAAAACAATTTTAGAAAATCCATTGATGACAACAAAAGGTATCTCAACAATGACAGAAATACATAGCACTCAGCAGGAAACCTTTGACAAAATCCTTTATTAGCCTCACAAAGTTTCAAGTCCTAGAAAATTTAATTTAAGAAGAAAGGGTTGAATCAATCAGATGTATCCCAAAATAGAAACTGCTTCACCATCTCCTAGGCTTATATAGTAATTCTAGCATTCACATGCAGTTAACTAGTTATCACCTGGAATGCTTATTGCTAGGGAGAATCTATGAACCCATACTAAAGACAGCCCTTATAATTACAAAGACATACTATTTATTTTATAAAACAAACTCCCTCTGATATAAAAATTCTGCATGTCACTGACATAATGGTGAATGATGAATGAAACTCATCAGATGTTGGTTATCACAGCTATCTGGATGGAACAGTTACAGGAAAACAACTCCCCACCCTGGGCAAAGATTTTTAACTGTTTGTATATATGTACACACCAAGCACAGCACACACATGCCAGTCTTAAGACAACTTGTTGAAGGTGGTTCGCCCCTTCTGCCATGAGGGACTGCATGAATTCAGGCACCTATACCTGCTGAGCCGCCAGTGTAGCATGATACTTGGACAGGGGATGCAGGTCAAGCGTCACTGTTTAAACCCTAAGAAGTTACTTAGTTTCTTGGCTTAAGTTTGGCTGTCTATAAACCAGCACTCATTGAGTGGTTCTCTTGCCATAGAAACATTAGGTGTCAAATGTGTACGTAGAACACGTACTTTCCAATTCCTTCACACATGGCATCAGAGAAACTATATGTTTTACTTTAAAACCTATGATAGTGCATTATGTTGTTCTTTTACTTAACAATATTAAAGTATTTGGTAGCTTCACACATAAACTTTGAATATTAGCTTTTATTATGATTTAGTAGAACCGCTAACAGGTCAGCACAGTAACTGTGTCTGCTAGAATCCTTGTCTAATATTCTGTAATCCTTAATGCACTCAAAATTAAAAGAACTGTATCTACACTGTGAAACACAGTTACATGAATGGAGACCATAAGGCAGATGCATGCTTTTGTCTTTCCAAATAATGAAAAATAATACTTTGTTCATCTAGACATGAAGCTGAACTAGAGGATTCAAACTGATTATGAAAAGGAGAAAAGAAAACACATTTATGCCTTTAAGGTTTCTTAAGAGAAACTAGGAAAATAGGTAACACCATAAACATTAAAAAATGGTAAAGCACTGGTATCATGAAGGTCAAGTGAAACAGTAGACAATGCATAGCTAGTATATTTCCTTGCATAAAAATTGTTGAAAACTAATATTGCTAATATTCTTTTAATTGGTTTATTTCCCTAGTCCCCAGTTTTTTTGTTTTGTTTTGTTTTCAAGGCCATTTTCTCTTGGAAAGACTTACATAAAAGTTTTGGTTCAAGAAACTGTTTCTGACAACTGCACACAATAGATTTATATTATCAGCTGGTGACTACAGGGTTGGAAAGGGATATTTGTTATTATTAAGTTATCACCATCTGCCAAAATACATTTCACCTGGAAAGAGAACAGCTGCTTGGATGAAAATGTCAGCAGCATGATTTCCAGGTAATTGAAGCTAAGAAAGTCAAAGTTAAAAGGAGCAAGAATACATACTTTAAATAGGAAATTACTTTTTTAGTACAGTACTGTGAAGGCTTTTGATGTTTATAGGCAGTCAAGTAAAACACTATCACAGAGCTGTTAAGGCACTGAGGAAAACATCAACTAATGCAATCTATACTGAGGTATTATACAAGGTACTAGCTTCCTTGTAACTGGGGCTAGTAATAAAGGTCAATGAGCAGGCAATTCTCTAGGAGCCCTCTTTAATACTATAGCTGCTCTTGGGATGTGGATTTTAAAAGAGCTCAGTAATCCAGGATAATGCTTTTCAAACTTCTATGGTAAAGAATCAATCTCTTCTTTATTTAAACAAAAAAACTTTTCTATTGGCTGTCCTTTCTCTATAGACGATAACACACCTAGCACCAAATCTTATATGTAATTTCCCTAAATATATACCAACAGGAAAGTTTGATTTAATGAAGTACAGCTAAAACATTAAGGCCAGTAATAAATTAGACCAATTTTGACTATATACTGAAGTAAGATTCCCAGTATTACTACTCTTGTATTGTACAGCAATTATTAAATAAAAATTACATGAGTTCAGGCCCACGGATACCATGACAGAGGCTTTGATTACCTAGACAGCTCCTGTCAACTAATGAGCAGGCATCAGCACTGTACTGGACAAAGGGATAGTTTACCTCCAAGCAGACAGAATAGAATGGCAGGAGATTTCACCAGGCCACTCAGAAGAGTATGCAATCTAAAATTGAAGAAGTATTTCCTTCTGGATCTTTATATTTAATACTTACAGATTGTGGTTGACTACACGTAACTGATAACAGGAAGTGCAAAATCCTCATATGGAGGAGGGATACCATAATTAACTATGAGTAAATTCTTTAACAAAAAAAATACATACTAATAAAAATTTTAGAAACCTAAGACATATATGTTTTGTAGGTAGCTATACCTGGCATATCCAGGTGCTAAAAATGTTCAATTAATGATAGTATCATTTGCGTAAAAGTGACCATGCTTTCACTGGAAAGCTGTTTTTAAAATGCGGCAGGTATGTTATTGCATATATCCAATAAGAGAGATATAATTATATATATATAACAAATATTTAGTAACATCCTAATATGCATTAAACTCTAAAATGACACAGTATATCAAAATTAAGTAGTCTGTGGTGAGCCAGGTATGGTGGCACATGTCTGTAACCCCCAGCACTCAGGGAGGCAGGGGCAGGCAGATCTGTGAGTTTGAGACCAGCCTGATCTAGAAAGCAAGTCCAAGCCAGCCAAGGCTACACAGAAAAATCCTGTTCCAAAAAAAAAAAAAAAAAAGAAAAGAAAAAAATGGTGTTTTTTTCTGATATTTTTTTTCTTTCATCCTGAATCCTAATTATTCTGAATTACAGAGAGGAATATCAATATGAAAGAGATACAAAGATCTAGCACTTGAAGAGCACCTGATATAACATTAAAGGGTTTTTATTTTCTCAAATGAGCATCTATAAATTCTTGTGAACCTATGGAAGAATATTAAGTGTATTAGTACCTGTTTGCATGTATCTTAGAACTCTTTAAAGATTTTTATATTTATATAATTACATATTTGAATTACATACTCTGTAGGCACTTGTATCTCTAGGTAAAATAAGGAAAGCATTTAACCAACTTATGCTTTTCCTATTTAGTTTCACATCACCTACAAAGTCCAAGTGACTGCATCCTCAAAGAACACACAGCAGCAACCTAATGCAGTCTGAAGTCATGACAGCAGAGGGTGCTATGGTATGAAATGACCTCTTTCAAGAATCCATTCACTTAAACTGGTTTTCCAAGAGGTTGGGAGCTTCGTAAATTATCTCCTACATCAAAACAATTTTACAGTTTCCAAGTAAAAAGTAAAATTTAACTGAAACAAGTCCTTAATTATCAAATAAAAAACAACAAAAATATTCTTATGAGTTTGCTGACTCTTCTTTCACATTATTTCTGTTATCCTATGTGTAAGAAGTTGAAATGGGAAAGCATATTTTATGTTACGGAACACTGAATTTAACAACAGAAGTCATGACAAGCAGCATTATGACAACACCAATGTATTGAACTGAGAGGTTGTGCCTAAGTGTAAAGGAGGGCTCCAGAGGAGCTGCCAAATGCCCACTTTCGACAGTCATGGTTTCCTAGGTTTTGATTTTGTAACAAGTCATGGAACAGAACATTTACGTTGGACATAAACAGAACCAAAATGTTGGACTGCCTTTTCAAAACTTAGTTTCTAAACTATTGAATAACCTACAACAACATGAATAAATCTAATGCCATAAGAACTCCTTTTTAGGAAAACTTTCATCTTCATTTATGACTCAAGAAAATACTTGACAAAAAT